GTGTATTAGCCACTCAATGGGCCATTATTGTAATTAAGCCTCTCAGGCCCAAGCTTAGGAGTCCGAGCCACATTTCTCGTATAAATATCCCAATGATAGGTGTAAGAGGTTAAAAAAATCATCAATACCAGATATCTTGTGACCATATCATTATCAGTTTACTAAGGAGCTATGAAACTTGTTACCATTAAATTGATTTGTAAAGTTAGTGAAATGACAAAATTGACTCAATTTCTTGAATTATAAAAGAATATTTAAAATTTATGAAAATGGTTAAAATATTCCTCTGCAACAAACTCAATCAACTCAATGAATAAGTATTTCAGCCCCAGCAAATTGTTGCCTAACTTATTTTTACTATTGCATAATTCAAAGAGCAAATAAAATTTAGCATTTAGTTAAAAAGTTATCAGCTAAGGGCATCTCCAACAAGCACCAACTTCTACACTAAAATGGTGCATTTGCCAAAAAAATGCTCCAATACCCACACCATCTTCAACACCATTTCACCATTTTGGTGGAGTGCCTTTGGCTTTACGCCATATATGGCGTACACCAAATCCAACACCATCTTCTTTTTCTATTTTTTTTTATTTCAAATGTGACCCAAAGTTTTGATTATTATAGTTTTGCCCCATTTTTAAAACAACAAATTAGGATATTTTTACTTGGACTAAAATTTGTTGGTCTGATCTGGTCGGATTTGGTCTGGTCTGGTCTGATTTCTTTGTATTTTTATAACTATCCAAGTCTGGTCTAATCCGGTCTGATTTGATCTAAGACAAATTACAGTCCAAGTAAAAACATCTATATAGAACAACAAATTAAAATTACTAATTTGATAGAAAATAACAAAAATATAATAAAATTTAAATCGCAAAATATTATAAATAAAGTTTAAAATCGAAACAACATAATAACATAATACAAATGATACTTAAGAAAATAACATAATTAAAATTACAATTAATAACACCATTATAATTAGTGAAATATTGATTATTGTATTTTAATTAGTGAAATGTGTGAAAATATATATTAAAATGGTGTATTTTAGTTTGTATGTGTGAAATAATGTGTGAAATGTCAAAATATTAAATGAGGGACTAATGTACAAATATATGATAATTAGATACTTAAATAGAAGAATGGTAAAAAGTTAGTAAAAAGAATAAAAAGAAAATATTCCTTTTTGGTGATGAAAATGGTGTAAACTGTTGGAGATAAAATACTGTTTGATGTTATGTTTACACCATTTTAGTGTAAAAAATGGTGTAAACTGTTGGAGATGGCTTAAGGGAAACCAGAGCCTACAAGACGAGATTTGAAAATCATTATAAATTATGTGAGCTCAAATTCTCAATGGGATCTATAATCGATGCTTTCACGCTAAATTTAAAATAAGTCTCTTATAAAAGGTACCACATACATTAAAACAAGGATTTAGAAACATGACATTTTTACATCGTTGGTGTAGATTCATTTAACATCCATTTATTGGGCATTCAAAACTTAGGCATTTATTGTACAAATTTTACGATGCAATTGATTAGTGTCTATTGAAACTATTTGAGCAATGGGTAATTTGATGTAAGAGGAATTTACCAAAGAGTTTTCTTCTTGTACCCACTTTTATACACACATTTGTATATTTGTTTATATACACAGACAATTGGGAGAGAAATGATATTTCTTCTTAACGAATTGCTTGTGTACACAGACAAAATAGGGATGAGTACAAAAATGGGTACAAACATATTTTTTGTTTACCAATAGTGGGGTATAACGTACGAAGTATATATAAGTTGCCAGAAGAGGAAGGAAGGAAGAAGTTGGCAACGACCAAACCCAAACCCCACTTGGGATAAGCTTTCATTTCTCACCTCACTTCTTGGAGCTTTCTAACCTAATATCATTATCTCCACAATCATTCATCGGCAAAACGGTACAGTGTGGCCCATTCGGCCCACTATCACCGAACTAAAGATAAGAAGGCCCCATTTGGTCCAATCGCGAACCTTCAAACGGTTGAACCCATGTTGTAAGTGTCATGTTTTTAACGTTCAGCGATTGTATATCACCATTGCTCTACTTTCTTTCATGTTATAGGCCTGTTTGATAACTCAACTTTGTATCAATCGTTTGAATCTGTCAAAAGTGGTAAAATTATAATCGAAGTAGTTGAGTTATATTGAATTCGCTGAATTGTGAAAAAAAATATTTAAAATATATATTACTGATATAATAGAAAAAATATGATATGAAAATATAACTACAATAATCACATTCAGCAATTTAAATCAATTCAGTCAGAAAAGTAACTTCAAGAGTACTTATTTTGATTATTACGACTACATTTGGTAAACTCTACTTCCAGCCCATGAGACAACTTTTTCATCAAACACACAACTTTTAATTTTGCGTGTTGAATATTGAATAAAAATAAGTAAGGTTAGAATTATTTGTCTGACTGAATTTGTTGAAGTTATTGTAGATGACCGTTTTAGGAATTTATGTACATACATATTTTCTTTCTTAATTTGATGAAGTACCGTAGATTCAGTCAATCCTAGTGTTAACAAACGAGTTCTACACAACTCAGCGCATGAAATCAAAAGTGACATGTATTTAAGTAGTTGACTTATAAAAATGATAAACTGAATATAGGAGTTAAAGCTCTATTCTAAGTATTATCTCGCGTTCTTTAAAAGTTGCAACAGTTTGACTTTCACGTTTGCCAACACATAACTTTGACTGTAACTATATTTAATTACATATTAGTAAAATTTTAAAAAAGATTATATTTTGAAAATTACATTAATAGAAATTTAATAACATTTTATACTTAATAATTTGATTATATATATTATTAGAAAATCGTAGTCAAAGTAAGGTGTGTGAATAGTGCACAAATCTAAATATTGCAACTTTTAAAGAACGGATGAAGTGTATCATATCATATGTATTCTCACAAATTATATTTATATTCATACTTCTAAAAAAATTGCTTAAAATTTTATTGTTGAGAATAGACATTTTAAGCTCCGAAACCAGTAAAGACCCCCCTCTCGGCGATATGGCCGAAGGCTCCAAAACTCACAGGACAGCCAGATTTGAGCATACGAAGCTCCTGAGAGAAAATGACAGAAATCAAGAGCCTTCGGCACTTTCGTGCCCTCGGCATCAGGGAAGCCTTCGGCTACACAAAGCTCTCGGCCGCAGGGAGAGCCTTCGGTTAACAGCTCAATCATCGAAGATTCCCTTTGGAGACAAGCAACCACCGCATTTAATGCGACATCACGTCCAACCACCGCATTTACCACGGTGCACATGCGAGTGCCGGTGTCACCCCGATTGAGATGACCCTTCGGCCGTCAGATTACTGACATGTGTACTCTGATCGCATTTATTGCTGCTATAAATAGCAGCCCCTATTCCTCTTGTAAAGGACCAGAACATCTCGAGTTCATTAATATACTCGACTCTCTTTCTTATTTATTTGCTCTGACTTCTCTCTAGGTTATTCTCGTAATAACCCCTCGGATAAGTTACCCCCCGGGTACGCCATCCATCAGGTATATCATTTTTAATTTAGACTTAAATAATTCAACTGCAACATTCTGATTGGTCCATGTGGACAAAAGGTATGGTACCTTATGGGTACCATAGAATCTATAAGTTTGTTGGATCTCAACACCATAAGTTTATCGATATATAATAACCCTCCGATTGGGAACTATTGTTATGGCTTCTATAAACAAAGTTGGCTTCTTGGCCCTCTTCCTCGTGTGTGGTACGTCTGGACTGTGGAGAGAGTAGTAAACTCTTAAAGACTTAAACATGTTTCTTTTCGTATATATTTTCCTTTATTTAGACTTTAGTATATTATTATTGGTCATTGAGGTTTTTTGGGGTTCGGATGCTAGAGAAACAAGAGAAGATTTTAGTTTTTAAACTTAATTGAAAACAAAAGTTTACTTTAAAACAGGACAAGAGTTATACATATAGTATTTAAAAACACTTTCTTAAAGTATGACTCATTCACCTCTCATAAGTGCCTTGTACAATTGTCAACTTATTCGAACTAAATAAGTTATACTCCATGAGCAAACATGCTTACCATGAATATTTTTTGTGAAGGGATGTAAACGCAAAACGTGCATGCATACATTTCTGACTATTTAGGAAGAGTAAAACACTGCCTATATATAAATACTCATGCACGTATTATATTAATATAGAAGAAAAAGTCAATGACGATCATATATTGGGAAATGGTTGATGTTTTAGTCACACGAGAGATAATTTTCTCAATATATAAATAATCCCTGTATGTTTTGTATGAGGCATGTATTTTATTGCTGGAAAATAACATGGAAGAAGTTAATGCTCAGATTTGCACTCAGCAATGCGAGCCTAAGGCAGACTATATGATGTGCAGAGATGATGATAAGATTAAGCCTATTTACAGAAATTGTTGTCAAATTCGAAATAACGGCCGCAGGTGTCATCTCTACACTTCTAATGGCACTCGCATATGTTAATCTCTCATACGCAATTAATTACTTCCATAATTACCGGACACTCGTACTAAATAACAATATCAACAATGGCAGATAATTCGATCATAAATGCGTGAGTTTATATATTGTTCTATTATAGGTATTGTGATATTATAAAATAAAGGGAGATTTCCAAATTTTCATCCGTTAACTTTCGATTGTGATATTATAGGTATTTTTTTTACTCCAGGGGGATCTAGGGGAGAGGGGCTTGGGCTGGAGTAATGAGGGCTCAAACTCACCTCATTGAGTTTCAAACATTTTTTGTGCCTAGCGAGTTTCGAACTCGAGACCTTTCACTAGGCACGGTAACCTCACAACCAGCTAAGTTGATTGTGAGGTTAACTTTCGATTGTGCATGTTATTAGTTTTGTAATTTTACAGTGGCTTGCTTTTAACCAATTATGAAAATAAACGAACGTTTCAAGTGACTTTGCACTCAGTTCAGATACCATTTCTATTCTGCTACAGATCTAGATGGACATTTGGACTTGGGGACAAACCATTTTTGACAGGGCTCAAACCTTTAGTAGATGTCAAAACTAGGAAAATACAAAATTTGACCATTTTGTAAAGACGTTGTCCTCTATTACATTGTCAAAACTAGGAAAATACATATTTGTGACCATTTGGTAGGATCTAACCAAACCTTAAAGTCTTCCAAAACATTAACTACGGACAATAATCTAGTTCTTCACAAAACCCAGGTACAACAGCAGTGCCACTGATGTCAGGAAACTAAAAACAATTCCACCTAATAATGTGACATCAATAGGACTCCAAACAGCTTCTTGAACTTTGGGTATCACTTGTACCTTCTCAGTCTCCTTCCCATCTAAAGGACTCTTCCTCTTCCTGAGTGACCGGCTGCCAACATTCATATCATTCTGATCTGCTTGTGTCTGGTCGTTCATTGGAAGGGTAGGTTCTGTATCACCTGGAGAGGCCTGACAACACCAGGCACTTGAAGAACAAGCACATGAATCTGGCTGTTTGGAACACACACTGTTCTCATCTAAGCTGGAGTAAGGTGGCCTTTCATCATTAAGTCTATCAATGTTGTTACGGTTAAGGACTTCCTCAATCACTTCTCCGAAAACCGACCATCTACCTACAGATGTTATCTTTACAGTAGCTGAGGATCCCTGCATGCTCTCAGGACCCACCACTAGCACTTGAATGTACCCCTTTGTGTGGCCCACCTAGATCAATGAGAATGCATATGGATGCAGAGTTTAAACCTAACTATGTTCATCGGCTAAGACTTCATTCAGGAAATTGGGCGAAGACTTTTTAGAATTTAGAGGTTTTAAATGCTTTAAACACGCCATTTAAAAAAATGTCAATTTATCAACTTCCAAATTCTACAAATTAGGTCTTTTGGACTGGTTGGAGCAAATAAAATAGTTTGGGACACTTCTGCCCTAAAAATATTAAAATTTAATTACATAACCAATTCTAGAAAACGAATAAATCTTAAAGAAGAAACGAGACATGCATAAACTTAGTAACTTGTACAAAGGCCAAATATATATATACTTATAAGATTATTATTAAAAAGTATTGTTATTTTTTTAAAATGATGTAAAAAGTTTCAACCGCAAACTCTTTTGGGACCAAGGATGGGATGTTGCTGTATTGATGTAGAAAGTTCTTATGCTATCTACACTTTTATAGTTTTAATGATGCCCTTGTAATAACTTAACATTTCAAACGTGCCACTACCTATTCTTTTATTTTCAAATTTACGTTTATTAACTTTATTTCCAAAAACTGGCATTTGCATTTCGAGTGTCAAATAAGAGAACATGAAACAAGGAAAAAGTAATAAGACAGCCTGAGCCAACTAAGAACACTATGTAATCTTTTACCAGGTGAATTCCATCAGAGGCAATATCAGTTATCCATATCCTCTCAATTTTGCCTTCCATTCCAGCATATGGTGTAAATGACTCAAATACTGCAGTTAATTCACGGCTTCTGCTCTTCACAACATGACTAGCCACTTTCTTCATCCTTGCAGCAGGAGTTCCTGACATAGGTTTTTACTATATTGAAAAAAAAATGATCCAGTGGATAGCATAAAACATACTACTGATAAAACAAACTTATAATATCAAAGATAATTGCAGACCTATGGTTCAGGATATCGTTTTAACGGTTAATATCAATGCACAGAGAAATGTAAGACAGGACTCTCTCATCTTCTTTAGTGTTTTGTCAAAAGTAGAACTCCCACTGTCTCCTAATCTTCCTACTTTCCTTTTGAGCCAGCTAGCCCTATATCTTCCTTTTACCTTTAAAGAAAACAAATGTGTGGTTCATATCCTTTCATTCCTTTTTATATAAATCTCAACTGCATAATTTTCATTTTCTTACTCTACCAAGTCAAACCTAAAAGATTAAGGGCCTGTTTGTTTTGGCAGTGAGGGGAGTCCGGTGGTTTTTTGTACTAAAACATAATTCAGCTCACCGCACGTGCAGCTTCGGATAATAGTGGTGAGAAGCGGGGAATGCGCTTAGAATTGAATTCCCTAGGATGCCCTTTCACACTTCATGCAATATTTCATGCCCCGGCCCTTTCACTCTTATGAAATAAATGTTACAGAGTATAACTTTAAAAAGTCAACATTCTATGGAGTATAACTTTTTGAAAACAAATTACCTAAAATCTTTTCAACTGAATGGTCTTTTTTCATAATAATCTCACCGTCACAACTATTTTATGAAACATCTGCAAAACTTACTCTTGCAAACTTTTGACCTTACCGCTCTAAACTCGAAGTTAAAACAAACGGACCCAAATGGCAGGAATAACTGTTATCCTTATCTTGCGTACATCCGACCCCGCCACCCCACCGTAGCTGGGAGCTTTTGTGACACTGGGATAATGATAATGATGATGGCAGAAAAACCATTCAAATTGTTCATGTCATTCAGGTTTCATTCCAAAAGCGGCTTATCGTGCTTATCAGCAGAAATAAGTAGCTTTGACTTGCTTATTTGGCTGAAATGGACCTAATTCTTTTCCTTTCACAAAATTCAGCATCCATTTCAACCACACACCATAACCAAATAGCCTCACAAAGTTAGAATTATTCTAATTTTAGATGTGAGTACAACAACATTCCCTTATTTTTCTTATGGTGATATGAAATACAAGATGAAACTGAATACCAAAAACTTTAAATAACATATCTTTTCACATAGATATTTCTGTTTATTTTTAGTCTTGCCTTCTTACTGAGTCAACTACAATGTTAACTTTAAAACAGCAACATTGTTCAAATGAAAGAAATAAATAAACCAGCAATTAAAGTAACTTACCAGGTCTAGGATAAAACTGTGATATATGAACTTGAGCAAACTGATAATCCTTAACAAGGTTAACAGTCTGAGCAAAATCTTCATCAGTTTCACCTGACAATCCATAATGTTTCAACAAAGTACTTCAGTTCACAAAAAACATGAAATTTGAGTACACATTTAGGTAGAAAAACAATTTATCACCATGGATTTCTCATCTAAGGTGAAACCTCCAAAAAAATTGTAATTATTTGAAGAAAATACAACGGTTTATGAGAATTGAATACTTCTCTATGGATGCAAATTGGATTCAACAGTCCTGTAATTATGAAATTGAGTCTATGCGATAGCCACAATCGTACATCTCACATTTCAATTACTAATTTATTTTAGAATAAAATACCCGACTCTAGAAAGGAAAAATTGATAGTAATAATCCCAACTATTGGCGGTCCGCTCATAATAATCCCAACTATCGATTATTTCGGAACAATCCCAACTTTAGGGACCTTCCGCCAATAATGGTCCGACGTGACCGACTATAAATAAATTCCTATAGATTCTAAAGTGGATGAGAAGAGATATAGCAGGTAATCCCTATAAATAATGGGTTTTTTACAAGAATATTACTAAAATAAAACTTACTTACATAAATATGACTATTCATTACTACAACGTAGTATTGTGGTAACTTAAGTTCAACACCTGAACATGAATTACTATGATTTCATTACTACTCTAGTAATTAATCATATTTTTGTAAATCATCTTTATTTTGATCATATTTATGTAATTATTTCATAAATAATCTCAACTTTTAATTTTTACACTTAATTTCTATTAAAAATCACCTGTTATAGCAGGTAATATCCGGCCATGGACCATTATTGGCGGACGGTCCATATAGTTGGGATTATACAAAAATAATCAATAGTTGGGATTATTGTTAGCGGACCAGCAATAGTTGGGATTATTATTTTCAATTTTTCCCTCTAGAAAACATTGTTTGGTGAAGAATTTATAAGTAAAGTGACTTTCATACACTTGCATCACCATCTTGGAGATAACACATAGATTAATCTGTTTCGAATACAAAATTAATTGAAATAGAAAATATCTTTGAATTTCTATGGCCCCTATGAGTATGTTTGAATCCCTGAATGCAAGAGAAAGAGAAAAAAATGTCAAGTTAAATTATTATGTTTTTCTTTAGGAGAGAAATAAAAATAAAGGATCGTTTTTCATTTTTTTTGCATATATTTAGATTTTCTTAATCTATATATAATTGAATTAAATAACTGACGTGAGTTTGAAGAAATATCTAAAATATTTCTTTTTCTTTCCCAAATTTTCTTTCTTTTCAATTTTCATCCCTATTTTCTTCCCCTAGCATTTTCCATGCTCCAGACGGAGCAACTGTAAAGTAGAAAGCAGAAAAAATGCCATGAAAAAAAGAACAGTAAAATTTGGTTACAGACCAGGAAATCCACAAATTATATCAGTGGCAATCTGCATTCCAGGTACTAGTTCAGTCAATGTATCCACCACCATCCTGAAGTCTGCTACAGTGTACTCACGATTCATTGCCTGGAAAACAATAAATAATAAATTTAAAGGGCCATATGAAGAAATCTATGGCAAATGCCATAGAAAGAGGACAAAGAGAGATGAGCAATGAAGAGAAAATAAAATTTCCACTCTTGGTCCCATCCCCAGAGTCCCGACTATTAGGTCATTCTCTCTTTTGTTCTTTAAATTTCATTATTTCCCCCCATATGGTGTATCACTGTACTCCTTTCCCACATTTGGTCCTTCAGAAATTTATCCGGCCATATCCCGTACACTTTCCAAGGTATTTCCACCGAATGAGTTGTCAAAACTAAAAAAAATGTGGCAAAAAAACAGATGTGCCAGTAATGGAAAAGGTGAAAGCCATGGACCAAAAGTGGGAATAAACTAATAATCGCGTGACCAGATATGGAAAGTTTTCTTTAAAAAAATCCCAATACAACTTTGATGGAAACAATTCACACAACCCATACTTACACTCAAGATGGAATCACTTCCAGACTGAACAGGTACATGAAGAAAAGAGTAAACGCATGGGTGGCGTAGAACGTCGGCTATTTCCTTCAAGTGTTCAAGGATATATGGAGGATTAGTCATCCCAATCCGAAGCATTGTACTTCCATCTGGGGGAAGTCTTTCAACAATAGCGTTTAACAAAATCGGAAGATTAACTCCAATATCACGACCTGCAAAATGGTCAGAAATAGTAAATCAAAACGTTTCATATCAATTACTTTGCCTACTTAGGGATGAAAAAAACAAGTGTGACCCACTGGAACTTGTTCCTCTCCATACAGGAGAAGATATGATGCCAAGTGATGAGATTATTTTTCATTTTTCAAAGTTTGAACTTTTAAAAATGGAATTTATAAATTCCAATGGTGACAATCTTAACAAGTATAACATTTTTCATTCTCAAAAGAAACTTCTTACTCACCTTTATTTCCTATTTCTCTAATATCAAACAATACTAATATCCCAACCTATTTCTTATCTTTTAGTCTCTTCTGGTTTCTCTCTCTCGATTCTTTCTCACCCAAAGCTAACAAACCATAAATTCTGTTCTTTGTTTTCAAGGCTATTGGCCCGTCTATCTACGATGAACATGTATATACATAGAGACACGCTTTTGTTGGTGAATTACAAACAGTTACAGATTTAAATCCCCCCGCCCCAAAAAAAAACTTGGCACAGCTGTATAGTTTGGAAGAATTGCCTGCATTTAAGGATTATTTGGTTGGGGAACTTTGGAGGAATGGGGAGGGAAGGATTGATTTTTTTACCAGTTTATCTCTATTTCCTAGTCTAGGACTACAAAATAACTAATGTTTAGTCAAGTCTTGTAGTTCTATATAATTTTTCATCTTCACTTTCTTTCCAAACATCAAAATGTGTGTGTGTGTGTGTGTATTAACAAAATACATATTTCCAGCTGATATCCCCCCTCCCTCCCCTCTCCTGAAATCCCCTAAATGAAAAAGGGCCAATAAAGTATGATATAGATAGACAGCTGATACCATATGCTCCAGTGTCTTCACTACTCAACCATATTTCCTTCACTCCATCAGCAACAACACTTTTGACCCGCCCCACCTAAAATGTAATGCACTTCGTGAAAGCTCTAAAAAGTCCACAATGACTATAAAAATTATATGCAATGGAAATGCTTAATCAAACTCACAAGGCTATCAACGGTGTAGCTTCCTAAATGACCACGAGCATGTTTTGTCTTGCAATAAGTGCACGCACCTAAACATCCAACATTTATTGGAAGAATCTCAATGAACTCGTTCTTCCTCACCTGTTGTGTAGTTCATGCATGTTGAAATTTAATAGTAAATTAAAATAATGTATATTACATGTTTTTGAACCTATAGCATGGTGTCATGGTGCAATACGCATTTAAAAATACTGGAAAAAGATAAGCTTTACTCATCATCATCATTACCCCAGTTCAAGAAAATAAATTATATTTCAATGATAAAATGCAAAATCAAAACATTTTGACTTGTTGGATGAAAAACAACATCCAAGATCATGAATGCAAAAAACTAGAAAAATGAATAAACGTCTGTTTAGTAGTACATGTCGGCTTGAGGCTAGTAATTCTATACTTATTGGGCTAAAATGGGTGTTCCTAAACGTTGTTACTTTAAAAAAATTCAGCAATCAAACACCCCAAACCAAACTGAACCTAAAATATATACATGATGGGGATTATTCAATCTCAGACCTTTGGAAGGTCAAGTGCTGGTAATGTTTTACGGGTTAGAAGCCGGACTTCATGACCTTTCAAAGTCTCTTCTACAACTTCAACCACACGGTCAATCTGTTGAACCCCAACTATACTAATTCCTTGTAACTCCTTCAAATTGCGGCTTCCCTGAGGAACACATCCTGCAACAACCAGGGGCTTTTTTGCATTTCTTCCTTTAGTTAAAAGAGTGTCCATGGAAGACTGACTAGGAGATTTAACCGTACAGCTGCATTACACATGAGAGTGAATGGACTGAAATGTGAACTTTTAAACCCCATAATAAATTTCAACAAGTTAATATTTATGCTCTCACCAGGAATCCAGAATCTTTATACACAACTACAAAGCCAAAAAGAAAATACTCATACGTGTTTATTAGCCACAGGTCTGCTTCATCCGGAACATCAGTCAAAGCATAACCAAATGCCGAAAGCTGACCAGCCATGTATTCTGAGTCACTCTGTTAGAAAAAGAGTTACAAAGTAGAAACAGAAACATTACTGCAAATAGGAGTAAAAATTGAGTCATATGTATAAAGAGAATACGTACTGCAAATACGTACATAAAAAAATCGGATGAAATAAAAAAATCTACGAAATTTCATGAATCAGGATCCGAACATTTGAATAAGATACAGCATTTACAGTCTAAGTTTATCAAGTTCAAAGTCTGAATTATAAAATGTGACAATAAGCATACATAGACCCTCTTTTCCAATCCCATTGTCACGTGCAAGCTCAAAAAATGGAGTGCATTCCACTATGCTTGTAAATGCAAACATTTTGATTTTTAGGATGAAATACAAAGTTCATGCTAAACTTTCAAAAATTAGGATAAAAATTGAACGAAAGTCTTTGTAGTTTGTGTTTATCTGATACAAGAAGAAAATGTGTACCTGATTATGCGAACAGCCAAATGTCTTTATGTAAATTGTCTGCAATACACGCACACAAAGATAATATACGCATACCAATCAGTCGCATTGAAGTAGTATTGGTAATTGTAACCTCAAAAGTGTAGGGATAGTGGGAGGACCTGAGTGCCAGGGATTTTGGGGGTCGACTTCCGGAGACCACTCATCTTTCTCTGCTTCGGATTTAGACCAACGACCGCCCCTGTCAACGGCAGCCGGAAACCTGGCGGTGTTCCTCCGCTACTTCCCACGAGCAAATCTTCTATGTCTTCCATCTCTCCTCAAGATTCCGAGATGGAGGCTCAGTATTTCCTTGCTCTTTGCAGTGCTAAATACTGATTTTATGATCTGAGTTTTTCCAGTGCTGTTTTATGAGCAATCCCAATTGTTTAGTATATGTTTGTCCAGTCTAACCTCTTTAAACACACCCATAACATGTTTAAAATTACATTCTATGGTGGAGTATAATGGTAGTAATGAGCAATTTTTTTAAATAGAAAAGAGAAAAAGGTTAAATAGTTTCTTCTACTATTTTCATTTTATCACTTAAATTCCTTATACTAAAAACATATCGTATAAGTATGCTTACTTTTAAAAATTCGATCAATATGACCTTTCAATCGATTTTTGACATGTAATAGCATGTTTTTTTATATTAATTTTTTTAAAAAATAAGTATAAATTTGAAGAACGATAAATACAAGTTGTGGAGAATTTAGGAATGCCAAAGTGGAAACTATTCGTATATTCTACATTTTCGAGTTACTAAAGTTTAATTTATGTTTTTACACTTTCACTTTATCTTTTTTCTTTTCTTCTATTTGTATGAGGTAATAAAAATGACTATGTGAGGCAAGTAAAAAATGTTCTAAATATTTTGTAATTGATATTGAGGAAATAAATACTCATAAATATTACAACTTTACTATAGGTACCCCAAAACGGGGTACCCATTTGCCCCCACCCTAATGGGTGACCATAAATGAGCCAACCCATTTAAGTGGTGTCCCACATAAATGAGTTGCCTCATTTATGGCCACCCATTAGGGTGGGGGACAAATGGGGGTACCCCATTTTGGGGTACCTTTAGCTTTTTCTAAATATTAATATACTTTCGTTCTATTTTATGAGAGACACTTTCTTTTTAAGGTTATCCAAAATACAGGGATACTTTCCCAAATTAAACTCCACATACTATTTATATTTCCACATTACCACTTTATTTATCATTTACGTTTTGGTCTTTGTGGAACCAAATTCGTTGGAGTTTAGAATTCTGTAATTTGCTGGTCTGAACTGGCTTGGTCTGATAATGTCTAGTTTCTTTGTATTTTTATAAGTATCCAAGTCTGGTCTGATTTGTTCTAGTCTGGTCTGGGATAGATTAGAATCCAAGTAAAAACATCCTAAATAACGGCTCTATCCTTTATTTTCTTAAAACCCATGCCAAACCCGCACAAACCATTTTACTTAATTTATTACTACGTATTATTTGAAATAAAAACAATTGATTTATTAGAAAATGCATGAGTAATTACCTTTTTATTTATAAATAGCGATGTTTGTGATATTTTAAAAATCGGAATAAATGTGATGAGTAATTGCTATTGTGGGATGAGAAATGAATTTCTATTTTGGACATAAAATTGACTTACAACTATATTAAAAATTTGTGTGAAGATTTTTTTTAATTTCAAATAATACTTTCTTTCAATTAGTCCACAAAATGTTCCATTAATGAACAAATTTTTCAAGAAACTCATACCGGAGTATAGATTTAAAGAGACACAATTTAAATTTATATCCTTCGTTTGGAGCAATTTTGCCTCCAAAACTTGTAACAACTTTGCTACTTGATACTCCCTATGTCTCATTCAAAATTTCTAACTTTTCTTTTTGGGACGTCCCGTTTAAAGGTTCTCATTTCTATACACTTAGTACTCTTGAATGACAATTTGATCATCAAGTATTAAAAATAATGCATGTATAACATCACAATTATCATCAATGACCCCGTTATATTACTTCTCAAAATGTACTCACATTACTATATCTAGTTATTGTGTAAATAACCGTACTGTTTTGCAATGTGAACCTTTGAACGGGACGGAGCCACGGAGGTAGTATATTATTAGAATACCGAGTAATACATAAAGATAAAGATAATATAAAGATATAAAAATATTTTATATGCGTTTTATTTGAGCTTATTAATTAATACATGCTATAATGGTGTTGTTTGGCAATCGGCTGTTAGCTTTAGCTGTTAGCTGGTTATGTCAGCTGTTTGATCACAGCTGGTTGTGTTGGCTGTTTTGATTGGCTGGTTATATTAGCTTGTTGTTAATAAATGTTTGGTAAAACTAGCTGTTATAAAACAGCTGTTTGAATGTAAAATGACGTATAAGGACATGGGTGTATATATAATATTTGAGTAATGCTAATAGTAATAATGTTAAAACTATAAATTATTTGCAAAATAAATTATTTAAGAAAAACAATATTTTATTTAAAATTTTAAAAGAATAAATTAAATTTTAAATACAAGCATAATAAATCTTAACCAATAAATCTTTTAAAATGAAGTAAGATGACTCTGTATTGCAAAAAAACATCAATAGTGTCAATTACGAAAAAGAATAATCATGCGTCTCAAACAGTTCATTAATACTAATAAAAAGTAAAACCACGTCTCAAACATTTTACATACTTAGTTTATCTTAAAATAAAGTAATGATGGTAAGAATTATTTATGAATGCGTCTAGCTTCCATCAAGCTAGAAGTTATATTATTACGGATAACTCTCATTTCTTGACTTCAAATGTTTGCATTATCTTGTGTAGCACCCCCTTCAACATCTTCAAATACATCCGGAGGTATGAATTCAGGATCCTCATCAATCAATTTAAAGTCAGGATCTACTATTGTGCTTCTCCTGATGTAGTTGTGCAATGCAAAACACGAACAAATTATCTTGTTTTGATCCATTAGTGAATATCTTGGCATTTTTTGCAATATCTTCCATCTAGCTTTAAGAACACCAAAAGCTCTCTCGATACAACTTCTTAAAGAGGAATGTGCTCTATTAAAAATCTCTTGAACTCCTCTCGGATTTGCACCACGGAACTCTGACTGATGGTACCTCGTCTTGGGGTAGGGAGTTAAATATCCATCTCTTTCAGGATAACCTTTATCCACCAAATAATACTTTCCTACAATTATAAAAATTAAGGTATGAAGATTGCACATAATGTGAATGACTTCGTTGAAAAGCAAAACAAAAGTATGGAATTACCTCTTGGTGGCTTCGGAAATTTTAGAGTTGGATTGTTGATTGTGTCTAAGAAAATGCGTGAATCATGAGCTGACCCTCCCAACCTGTTAATGCAATGGATACTTCATACGTTGGTTATGAATGTAACTCTTTATTTGAAATTAAATGGAACATTATGCTTTGAATTTACATGATTCCATATGCTTCATCTTCGTCTCTATTGGTTTCTACAAATGCAATAGAGAGTTTTGGATTTGGCTTTGTTTTGGCTGACCATATTTTTATTGCTTTTTAGTTCGATGGTTTAACTAATGTGTCTACTTCATTTAATGTTCATAATCTCATATAATAACCAATTTAAAAGAAAATGGGTTGTACTGAGTAGAAAGACTAGTTGGACTAGTTGCTGGTGTATCGGTTATGAGTTTTCTTCATATCTGATATGGGTCTCTGAGTTTACATAATCCACTCTGCAGTTCTAAGTAGAATTAATCCTCCTGAACACCTAGGAAACCTAGATAGACATATTTAAAAGTGGAGAAGATAAAGACACAGATAAGTGAAGACTGTTACATTAGGAAAGGGAAATCAAAGGATAACGTTTTGAGATGATGTCTCTTATTAGAAGGTAAATGCTAATAAAATGGCATTAACGTATAATAGTTGGATCCCATATTTAAAATTAAATTGCAGCTTTCCATTGTGAACATTCATCAAATGATAAACATTTATCAAATCTTGAAAATACAATTGCAATGTAAAATAAATACTCTTAATACTTGAAAGAAAAAACTCACAAGCAGCCCTGTGAGTATAAAAGTGCATCACATGCAACCAAACAACAAACTAATTCCTCACAAGCATTTTAACAAACACCTTTTGGACAAGTAGGAAATCAGAAACATATAATGAAATCCATAAGCACCAAGCTGCCCAATATTCACAACAATATACATTTGCAAAGTTAGCTCACTCAAACATCAATACCCAACAGAAATCACCAACATATCAAGCTTAAAAATCATAATCAATTCACAATACACAATCTAAAAAAGACTTATTTTGTTCAAATAAAGTTTGAATATATATGAGTAGACCTCACACATATACAACCTGCCACAAAAGTAAAGAAAAAAAACAGAGAGGGTGAAGGTCGACGAGGTGAACGGCCGTAGATCAGTCGCCGTAGAATTAATAACATTGCCGGAGAAGAAGGAAAAATGGAAAATACAAAGTAATGGGATAAAATTAGAAGAGGAAAAATCAAGAAAGAAGTAAAGTACCTTTGATTGTAGTTGGCAGGGAAGAAGAACGATGGCTGAGGAAAAAATGGAGATGCCGATGTTCTAAAGTCGGTATCAGTACGAGGGTATGAAGGGGAAAATAAATCGGATAAGCCGAAATATGACCTAAAACGCTGCCCAGGCCAGCTTTTCAAAAATCGGATTCTTTGTCTGGATAAGCCGAATGAATAAGCTGATTACCAAACAAGATTTTTGACATTTTAATCCAGTCAAACAGATTTTTTGAGTCAAACAAGCTAAAAAACAGCTTATAAGCTGTTTACCAAACAACCCCAATTACAAAATATATCTCCACACATCCCGCTAAGATTGTCCCAGTTTTTCTTTTCGAGAAATCCCGCTAAAATTGTCCGATATCAAATTTGATAAAGTTTTTTGGCTCTAAATCTTTTTTACATTATTCTAATTTTATCAATTCAACATCAACTACATAAACTTACCTTTTTAATAACCCTATCATTCCCTCATGTCCCAATTTTAGTGGGATTGAAGTAGTAACATCAATACTTTACATAGTACTCCGTAGATGATACTACTATTAGAATGTGAATGTGAATTATATTAGAATTCATACATTAGTACTTCGTATTAATTAAAAAAAAAGGAATATGGAGAAGTATTGGTGAAAAATTTATGCCTTATAATCCGCATCATCGTATGTATTAAGATAATGAAATATGGTAATAAATTTACTTCCCGTCACAATCAAATTGATTATCTTATATGAAGTGTTTTAATAATTTGTAGCTATATTTGTCCGTTTGAATATAAAAGGGAAAGAACGTATTAACTACATGTTATAATTGGGTGAGATTGAATTTCACACATAGCAATTCACAATTGTGTTTTCATTGAGCGGGAATAAAACGC